ATGGGCTGAATTGCACAAAACGCATGATCGCACCGGCTAGTCTGGTGCGCGTTGCCATTTATTGTGGTTTGGATGGGGAGGCGAATATCTCAGACACGGGGCAGGAGGACGTGGCGTAGATGCAGTGAACGGCTTTGTGGTTACAAACGCCCTTAATCTTCATAGCAAATAATTTCTTTTGTTAGTGGCCAATTTCCTCGGCATCTGTCGAAAACAGATTTGCTTTTTATGAAGAAGGGTATTGAAATGTGCGCGTTATTTATCAGTTTTTGATGAATTGGTCGGATTAAAAATGCTTCGAGGTTGTCGCATCGGGGTCGTTTTTGTTACTCCCCACGAGGAAGGAAGTTGCTTATAGGAATATTATCTTTCCCTCTATAAAAACTGTGCCTCGTAATTTTTAACTTTTTTGATTTTTCTTTTTTAAATAATATTCTTTGTCTTACCGCAAAATCCCAGCCCAGGCATCTCATCGTGATATGGAAGTGACAGAAGATAAGACACTTCGAGGTCTTGGTATTTTTGGTATCTGACTTGGTACTTTTAAAACTGGATAAGACAGCATTCTTCGTTTTGAGGGTGACATTCAAAAATTGTTTCTTTCCCTGTGCTTTCATCCCTCCTGTGCCCGTATTTCTTTTTAACTGCTTTTAATCCTTTATTTAGGTTCTCGAAAATTTTTTATGCGAATATTAGGTTGCGTACTAAAACATCAGATTTGGTGCGTACACCGTTTGCTTAATTTGCTTAGTTGATGAAATTTAATTCTCTTTTAGGTCCCTGATTTGCTCTTTACAGTACTCTTGCAGTCCCTATATTGTGGACTTTTTATCGGTTTTGCTTGTGGATGGCGAGCTGTGTCTGTGCATGGAATTCATGGATGGACATTCGCTGGACTGGTATAAGAAATTGCCTTTTTTGGTACTTGGTCCCGCCACAGTCTCTGTCGTTTGTGGACTTCACTATCTGTGGATGCACAAAGTGATGCACAGAGGTCAGTTTCTACTATACACTTAAACAAATGAAGCTTGCTGCAGCACGCACATAATCGCCGACCTGATTTTTAGTGAATCTGGTGGCAAGCAGTTTTCAAATTTCAGCTTTTTTCTTTTCCGAAGGAAATGAGGCATTGAATAATACATGCAAAGCTGGCGTGGCGCAGTGCGGCGGCACTATTTTTGTTAAATAGGTTGAAAGTTCGACTCTACCAATAAGGCAATCAGTCCCTCTACGATTCGTTTCGTTGATGAATTGGTACTGGGCATATGCCAGGAAGTCAAACCCGCCATCCACTTGCTTGTAAGCAACACACAGAATAGAGAGTCATCGACAGCCTTGCCAGCGGGTGATTGCTGTTGGCATATGCTACTACTCGGTCTACTTTGCGAGTACCTTCGCCTCTTTCTGAGATCGAAATAACCAGGGATTTTCGGATTTTGACTTTCTGTGTAAAACTGCCAGTGTGCTTATATACCAATGGTGCATATATGTCGATGTGAATGTATAAAGACTGGCGAAACTGAATTGTGATAAAGTGGATGTATTACCAATGGTGCATGTATCAATATGGATTTATAAGTCTTTTGGAAGTTTTTCAGATATAAAGCCGAGCAATATATTGGTCAACAGGCAGGGAGAAGTGAAAATTTCGGATTTTGGAATATCCAAACAACTTGAGCAATCTGTCGCATGCAGTTTTGTTGGAACCAACATCTACATGGCTCCAGAACGCATACGAGGAGGCCCGTACAGGTCTTTGAAAAACATTTTAACAGAGGTCCCCTACAAATTTGAATTATAAGCCTATGAGAGAAGCCGCATCGCGTGTTGAGCGCAATTATTTCACTTTGTATTACCACTTTCTGATGAAAATCCAACGCTGTAACGATGTTTGTGCACAATCAGGCTTTCAGAATTAAAATTTCTTTGTCTTGGTACGAAGTTTGACTGTCCCCCGCCTCTTCAAAGCAGCCTAATTGAGGCGTATATGAATATTGATATCTCAGTTACACTCTTAGTATAGTTCATTGCCAAACAAAACTGTAAATCATCGTAATAGTTAAAAGTTTTCAGATTGTGCTCTGATGTATGGAGTTTCGGTTTGACGATGTGTGAACTGGCAATTGGGAGATTCCCTTTGCCAGTAGCAGGTGTCTCGAATGCAGTACAGAATATTTTCGATGAAAAATTCGATGTTATGAATTATATCGATGGTGAAGAAGACCTTTC